GACATGGCAGAGACGAGTGTGAAACAAAGGGCGGCGGGCATGGAGGGCAGTAGCGACGGGGATGGAGACGGTGACGGTGGCGAGGGAGAGGAAGGGGGTCCATTACACCAGACAGCGAGAGGGGCAGGGAGGAAAGGGGGAAAGAGGAAGCCAACGCGACGCGCGCAGAGGATGAGGATATAAACTGGGACGACGCAGCGGAGGGGATAGGCGAGGGAATCGAGGGACCGGAGGGCTTTCGCGACAGCGACGATGACGACGAAGAAAGGGGAGGGGACGGAGGGGCGACACGCAGGAGGAGCGAAATCGCTAACGGCCCGAGCAGAGAGGGCGACGGCGGGGCACGAGGGAACAACGGAGACGCTACCGATGACGCGAACCGAGGCACGGACGCCGGCGGGGACGGGGAGGGCGACAGCGACGTCGAGGTTGACGCAACCGTATCGAGAGCGCCACCCAAAAAGGGGCGGACAGCCATGGAGGTCACCGAATGGAGGGCGAACGGCACGATGCGAAAAGGCAGGGCGAGGCGGATGGAGAAAGAAGTGCCGAGAAGGCCATGGTGGAGGGGTGGGACGGGAGGACGAAAGAAGGGCGAGGAGGACGAGCGGCCCGCACAGACCGCGAGCAGACAGCGCCTGCTGGCCATTTCGAGACATTCGCCAAGAACGCTAGCTACATGGGAGGGCTTCGTGAAGGATGGATTGAAAAACATTCGAACAAAGAAGAGGCGACGGGAGGAACCGGCGGAGGATGCAGTGACGTGAGACACACACACACACACACACACACACACACACACACACACACACACACACACACACACACACACACACACACACACACACACACACACACACACACACACACACACACACACACCGCTCACCCACGCGCACTGGGCCTTGCACTTTGAATGCCGTGGGGCTCCTGTCGTCAGACGTGGAGACGCGAGGGTTGCCCCCCCTTGCCCCACCACCTCGTGTGTGTGGAGAAGTTTACCTTACCCTTACCTTACCTTACCTAAAAAAGAAAGAAAACGGACCTCGGGAGGATGGGAGGACGGCACGGCGCCACCACGACTCTTATTCTCGCGATGTCCGCACACATGCATGCTCGCACACACACACATGCACATGCGGACATAGACGTGGATCCACCCGAGCCGCCCGACCCCGACGAAGAGCTTCCGCCAGACGACGATGGCGCCTCGGTGCCATCGCTCGCCGCCGCCGCCACCGCGGCTTCGCCAAGCACGCCGCCGCCCGCCCGCCTCCTCGACCTCCCCAGGGAGCTCCTCGAGCGCGTCCTCTCTCGCTGCGACAGCCCCGCCGACATCGCTCGCGTTGCGGCCGTCTCGCTACTCTTCCACGCCTCGCTCGCGGTGGAGGGCATCCGCTTGTGGGCGCAAGAGCGCGGCTTCGAGCTGCCGGCGCTGCCAGAGGGCGAGGGCTGCGCCGTGCGGTGGCTGTGCTACTCGGCGCTTCTGTGCGAGTCCAACCCGCCGGCGAGGGCGGCAGCAGGCCGTCTGCACAGCGTCTTCGTCGACGGCGAGGGGCGGCTCTCGGCGTGCGGCTCGGCGCCGCACGACTACTCGTCGACACAGTACGTGGAGGGGCGGCCCTCGGGACGGCTCGGGCACGGCGAGGGCGTGACGCGGCTCAACACGCCGACCCGCCTCCCGTCGGCGCTGGGTGAGCGTGCCGTGAGCGTGTCGGCTGGAGACGGCCACAGCCTCGCCCTCACCGCCGACGGCAGTGTCTGGAGCTGGGGCTTGGGAGACTCAGGCATGCTGGGCCACGGCGACACGCAGCACCAGCTGCTGCCGAAGAAGATCGAGGCATTTGCTGGGCAGCGCGTTCTCGCTGTGTCGGCTGGGCTGGACCACAGCCTCGCTGTCACCGCCGATGGCTCTGTCTGGAGCTGGGGTTGGGGAGCCTTTGGCGTGCTGGGGTTGGGCCACGGCAATCGGCAGGCCCAGTCACTGCCCACGAGGATTGAGGCCTTGGCTGGGCAGCGCGTCGTCGCGGTGGCGGCTGGAGATGGTCACAGCCTCGCCATCACCGCCGACGGCGCCGTCTGGAGCTGGGGGGGTGGCTACTGTGGCAGGTTGGGCCATGGCGACCAGCAGAGCCTGGCGCTGCCCGAGAAGCTCGAGGCCTTGGCTGGGCGGTGTGTGGTCGCCGTGTCGGCTGGACTCGGCCACAGCCTCGCCCTCACCGCCGACGGCGCTGTCTGGAGCTGGGGCGGCGGAGGCTGTGGCCAGCTGGGCCACGGCGACCAGCAGCGCCAGCTGCTGCCGAGGAAGGTCGAGGCGTTTACTGGGCAGCGCGTCGTCGCTGTCTCGGCGGGACAAGTCCACAGCCTCGCCCTCACCGCCGACGGCGCCGTCTGGTCCTGGGGCGGTGGAGGCGACGGCCGGTTGGGCCACGGCGACACGCAGCGCCAGCTGCTGCCCAAGAAAGTCGAGGCGTTGGCTGGGCAGCGCGTCGTCGCTGTCTCTGCTGGACCATGCCACAGCATCGCCCTCACCGCCGACGGCGCCTTCTTTACCTGGGGCGAGGGCCGCCACGGCGGCCTAGGCCACGGAGAGGACCTGTCGGACCAGATGCTGCCCAAGAAGGTCGAGGCGTGGGCGCCGGGTCACTGATGTGTTAGGTGTTGCCGCGTCGCCCACATGCCTATTCGCTACTTGCGGACGTGCGGCCATGGATCATGGTCACATGCGCGTTCGCGCCTACCCCGGTCGCCCCGCGCCGGCCGCCGCGTGTGTGGTCTGTGGACACCACACCAGAGTCCTCTCTCTGTGTAACAGTGCAATCACCCCCCATGGGTAGCCCTCACTACGGTAGAATGACTAGAAAGGGCACCCACACTTCTCGCTCTTTTTTGACATGGCGCCATGAGAGGCTTCCCGCTAGCGGCTAGGGGGTAGACAGCGCCCCACGAAATCCACCAGTGTGGGATTTCGCGCAATCGCTTGACTCTGAAAAGCTCGCATGTACCTCCTGCGAGTGCTGTGGTCGCCGCAGACTGGCTCCGACTTGATGGCGGCATGGAGACGTGATGCCTCCATGCCGCCGTCAAGTCGAAATCGACATGTGAGTCGATCTTTGGCCCGCCAGAGGTACATGCGGCGTTTTGGGCGACAACAGCACTGCGACCGCGAAGTGGCGGTGGACATGCTCCCACGTTGCCGACGCGGCGCCGGAGTGGCCGGCGCTGCTCGCCGCGACCACGACGGCTACTCTGATACTCCGGGCCGACCCGTCCTACCCGACGGTGGCACTCTTCCACGTCTCGCTCACGCTGAGAAAAATTCTGAAACGGCGTGCAGCAGAGTCACCGACGAGTCGGTCCGCGTGACTCCTCGTGTCCCGCACCGTTCTCACACATCCATAAACTCACTTTGGCCTCACTGAAGGTGAAGCAAGCCCTCAATCCTGAATCCTCAGATTTTAGATTAGGACGCTGTCTACCCCCTATTCCCGCCAACGACCTCGTCCTCCGTACAGAGGCTTCTGACGGAGATGGGCCCTCCCACGGCGGTGGGAGTGGTATCAGACAGCGGCCCATCGACTTGTGGGTTCCCCGCACCGGCAAGAGAGGACACACAGGCCACCAGACCGCCGCGAAGCCGCGAAGCAGAACAGAGGCGTGAGTGCGAGAGAAGCGGCGCGAGAGGAGCCACACACTGCACGTGAACAGATGACTTAAGCCGTAGCTTTTAACAGTGCTTTGCGACAGATCCGTGGCTCGGGTTACACCTCTCGAGAGAAATGCGGCGTTTTCTCCTTTCTGGCGGCACTAGAGTTGAGGCCCGTGCGGGCCCCCGCCCCCAATGGGGGCGGGGCGGGCGCAGGGAAAGGTCAGCTAGCTGGCGCGTGCCCGAGCTCAAAAAGAATTAATTTTAATACTTGATAATCTGACTGCATCGTTCCTGGCGAGCAAATTGTTGAAGCGAGTGCTCGTCGTAGTTGCTCCCAGTGTCGCATTTGTACAGCGGCGCGTTCATCAGCACCTCAAAGGGCGACATCGCCTTCCATATTGGCCGAACCTGATCTGCAATCTTCTCTGACAGACGGTCGATTTGCCCAGCCAGACGTTCCTTTGAAGCATACATGGCCGGCAGCTCGGACGCCTGGTCATGGCCATCTCGTGTTAGTCTGCAACCCTCAAGCAGCTGCTCGTAGTTAGTTGCATAAAGCCGTCTGCGGGACGCGGGGGACCTCTTCTGATACAATCCCTCCCAGAACTCGATGCCGGGGATCTTGTACTTCAGACGCTCATACTCAGCTCTCATGGCCTTAAGCTCCTGCGCCTGGCTGTGGCTGTCGCAAAGATGGCTCCAAAGCGCGTCGCGTGCAAACTCGTAGGGCAGCTGCGGGAAGCCCGCACACGTGAGGTTGTTTTTCACGATCACGTCCTCACTCAGCGTCCGGTAGAGCTCTTCCGACACGCACCAAAGCGGCTTGGTGTAAACCTCGTGAAAGGCACGGAAGTCTCGATACTCTGAGCTGGCCCGCCACTCAAGCAGCAAAGCATCTGTGAGTTCACAGTCGTCCAATATTCGCCCGTCGTCATTGAAGACAAAGGTACAGAGCCACTCATCCATCTCCTCCTCCTCGTTCTTATGGTCGAGATCTACAAAGTTGGCCATGGCTGGCTGGCCAAGCTTGATGAAGTTCTTTGCGCGCTCGCTGCGCTCCACAACCTCCTCCTGACCGTTGCGTACACGAGTTCCCTGCATCAATTCATACTCGAACCACACCCCGTTGCTGTACTCCCCATCACTGAACTTTGCGTGGCCCCTCCCGGTGAAGTTGTGCCGTGATCCGTTCCATACCCACTGCCCGTCATAGCACTCCACGCGGGTTGGGCTGCCGGCATTGTCAGTGTACAGCTGCACGCACGCTCCCCTTCCACTCTCGCCATACGGTCGTCCTATGAACACAAAGTCGATTTTAGAAGTCCGAAGCAGATCGTCCCTATCCACGCCTGCTTCAAGGAGCTTTGCAACGCGCTGGCTTGACTGCAAATTGTCGTCTAATATGCGGTCTCCGAGCGTCAGCCGTGGATTGTCGATCGCAACGTAGTCAACGGTCGCCGACGATGGCGGCCGTCGCCCAAGCAGCCCCTCCCACACGCTCCACAGGCGCTCCTTCACGCCACTCGCCGACTCGTCCACCACCATCCGGGTGAGATTGGCCAGCAGGAAGAAGAGTTTGAATGTCGTCAAAGACTCCATGCGCACTGCGCTCTGCTGCTGCTGTCTCTGCTGCTCCCGCCGCACATTGTCGTCGGCCGGCCGCTGGCGTGCACTGCGGTCTCGCTCCCCTCGAGTCTGCTCGTGGAGCTTCTTCTGTGCTCTCTGGCGCTCCGCCATCTGCTGCACGCGTGCATCGCGCTCCTGCTCCCAACGGCTGTGGTCGGCGTTGAACGCGGCCGCATCTGCGTACGGCTTGCCCGGCCCGATCTCCTCCTCGTGTGGTTCGGCCCGCAGCTTCTTCGGCAGAGGCGGCACGTGGACGGTCGAGGCGCCGGCCCCGGCCATGCGGCGGCTCGATCCACCTTGCGATCGACTTTGGCAAAGCGATTGCAGCACGGCCAAGAAGAAAACTCAAAAAGAAGAAAATCCGCTCACTAACTCATCTGCAGAACCTCGGCGCACGAGCAGCATGTTACACACTTGCAGCGTCACACCCAAGACACCAAGAGACAACAAACAATCTCTCTCTCCCAAGAGGGAGGATCTACGCCACAAACACACATACTCGACACACAGACCCTCTCTCTGACTGTCGACGGGCGCCAACCCGACACCACTACCCGGCGCCAGCCGCCGGCAGTGATAGTCGCCACTCACGCGACGCAGCTTTCCTCGCGGCACGTGATGCAGTGGTGTGGCGCTGTCGGTGGCAGCACGTGACTGGTGCGCTTGGCGCCTGGACGCAGCGCGACGGCCGTGTGCGCTGACGAGCGCCAGCGGCGCATTGCCAGCACGATCACGACGCACCGTGGAGTGAGCTTGGGCCGGGCCGAGAGCGGGGAGTGTGTGGGAGTGAGGCGTGTGGGCCCACCGAGAGGCGCCGCACCGCGGGCTTCAAAGGGACATGCGCCAGCGAGGGAACTGGAGCGAGGGAACTGGAGCGCACCGCTCGCCACAAAGCGCAGCCCGGCGCGCCGACACAGCGAGAAGGCGCGCGCCGCCGACCAGCGGCGCCTCGCAACAGTACATTCCGCCCACGGGCAGCAGAACGCTGGGTAGTCCTGAATCAGAGTCTGATTGCATCTCCGACGCGTGGCTCAGACGCGTGCGCGACGCCGCTGGGTCCGTCCGTGCGCCTGGGAGTGTGTGGACCGGCAGGTAAGGCTGTGGCGGCTGGCTCACCAGCGACTCGCTCGACGCTCGCAGCACCCATCGCCGAGGAAGCTGCGCAGCCGGTTCGCATCGCAAGCCACCGCTCAGGCCTGCTGGCAGGCTGCTGCGGACCCTGCGGCATCCGCCGGCCAAGCGTGGAGCCGCCAGGGGGCCCAGGGGCCGACCAAAACGATCGTGCCTGGGCAAATTTTCGGGGCGGACAGAAATCGCGGGAGACCCCTCTGCTTCTTTCAATGATAGGGATGAGCGGCGCCGCGAGCCCAGTCCTGCCGGCCGAGCTGGCCGTGGGCAACTTGGGCTCGCTGCGCGCCCTCCTGTCCGGGCGGCGGACGCGCGGCACGTCGCTCGCGGCCCAGCTCGACGCGCGGCTCGACACCGAGAAGCAAGACACGCTGCTCACCTGGGCCGCTCGTCACGGGCAAGCCGAGGCGGTGCGGCTGCTGCTCGAAGCCGGCGCGAGCGTCGGGGCGACGACTGGCGGCGGCGGCGGTAGCAGCAGCGGCGCGTCGGCGCTGTACATCGCGTGCCAGCAGGGCCACGTCGAGTGCGTCCGGCTGCTCCTCGAGGCTGGCGCGGCGAAGGACCAAACTGTGGGTGGCGGCTTCACTCCGCTGTACGTCACGTGCGAGAAGGGCCACCTCGAGATCGCCCGGCTGCTTCTCGAGGCCAACGCTGCGGTCAATCAGGCTTCCGACACCGGCGTCACGCCTCTATACATCGCGTGCGAGAAGGGCCACCTCGACGTCGCCCGGCTGCTCCTCGAGGCCGGCGCGGCGGTCGGCCAAGCCCGCAACGACGGCGCCACGCCGCTGTTCATGGCGTGCCAGCAAGGCCACGTCGAGTGCGCGCGGCTGCTTCTCGAGTCGGGCCGCTGTCCATCGCATGCTACAACGGCCACCTCGAGGTCGCCAAGCTGCTCCTCGAGGCCAGCGCGGCGGTCGGCAAAGCCAACACCAGAGGCGTCACGCCGCTGATCGCCACGTGCCAGCACGGCAACCTTGACATCGTCCGGCTGCTCATCGAGGCCGGCGCAGCGGTCGGCCAAGCGACAAACACCGGCGTCACGCCGCTCTCTATCGCGTGCGAGAAGGGCCACCTCGACGTCGCCCGGCTGCTCCTCGAGGCCGGCGCGGCGGTCGACCAAGCCCGTGTCGGTGGCAGCACGCCGCTGTCCATGGCGTGCCACCAAGGCCACCTCGAGGTCGCCAAGCTCCTCTCCTCCTACGGCGCCTCCCGCGCCGCAGTGCCGCCCTTCGGCACGCCCGAGGAGGTTGCGAACCGCCGCGGCCACGCCGACCTCGCCGCCTGGCTGGTCGCCAGCCGCGGCTGGACGCCGCTCGCGCACCTTGAGACCCTCACCGCCGCCCGCGCGCTCTCCCTGCTGCGCAGCGGCGCAAGCTTGCACGAGGGCGAGCCGACGCCGCTGCAGCGCGCCGCGGGCGGCGAGGGCGAGGTGGCGGCGCTGATCCGGCGGGCGGCGGCGCCGTGGTCGCCGGCAAGCCACTCGCTCTTCCCCGCGGCGGCGCGCGCGCGGGCGGCGCTCCTCGTCCTCTCGCTCTACGAGATCCACGAGCGGCACCATCTCGACTCGGCAGGAAACACGAACGGCATCGCGGCGCGCGACTTTGTCACGTGCGTGCTGCGCTTCGCGATCACGCGCGAGATGGAGTAGCGGAGCACTGCAGTGGCCTTGCTCTCCCCTTGGAACCGCCGCGGCGGTGCCTCTCTTGTTGTTTAGCACTCAACTGGATCAGACTGCTTGTCGTCCGTCCGTGAGCTCCTTGGGGTGCACTGGGGAAGAGCATGCGTAGTACTATATCGTGTTACACAAAGTTTCGGACACAAAGGCCATATGACCCGCCTACGGCTTTAGTTGTGGCGGCGATGGCGCAACCAGGGTAGCGGTAGGCTCCCCGCCTCACTGCATCTCGGACTCTGGATTCCACGATTGATTTTCCTAGCGTCGTCAAAGTGAGCTGAAAGCTCGCTCGAAGAGCCGATGGTACCCGCCGACCGCCTCCCATCTCGCCGCTGCTCTGGCGGGGCGGCGGCGGGGCCTGGCGACGGCGCGCGGCGCATGTGCCGTGGCGACCCACCGGGCCGGCCGGCCGCGCAGGCGCCGACCGGTGATCGCCACCGCGCCCCGCCTCGGATCGGACGCTCCTTTACTCGCCGTAGGCACGGCTGGCCGGCTGGTGGGGCGTTCTGTCCCCCCGGCGGCGGCGCGGGCACGAGGTCGCCCGCGTGGGATCTGTTTCTCGACGTGCCCATCATGAGCGGCGGGTTAGTCGCCATCAGTCGCCGCTGGTCGAACGAGACGGGCGGCTACGACAGCTCGATGCTCGGGTGGGGCGGCGAAAACATCGACCTACCCAAACGGGCCAGCCCCAAGGATGGGAGGTGTGAACACAAATCTCGGCGCTTTCAACCGCGCTCCCCTTTGGCGTCTCAGCCACAGATGCCGCCGCCGCCGCCCTCGTCCTCACCAGAGAGGTCGCCACCGGCAGGCCATCTCTACCCCTTGCCACTTGGCTGCGACCCGAGCTACGTCGCCGGCGCGCACCCGTTTGCTCGCCTGTACGCAGCGAATGGCGGACGGATTGGCAAGGCAAACACGCGTGCCGACTGTCCGTGCGTTGGGCCGGCGGGTCAGAACGCGCAGCCACATCGGTGCCATTCGTACGGCGCCGCTGCGTTCCGAGACCTCTTTGGCAGGTGCGAGGGCGCCATCACCTGGGCACGCACCCACTGCGTCGGCAACCCGCGTTGCGACCACAAGGTGGGCTATTGGGGCCCTGACGGCGTGGAGCTCGGCCGTGACTCGCCGCTCGTGCTCTTCCAGTGGTACCTCGCCAACCGTCCGGACCGCGATTGTGAGGGCTGCGGCTGCGAGCACGGCGACGGCACCTGCGCCGGCTGCCTCGACGTGCAGGGCTGCCCACAGCCGTGCCAGGCGGACCTCGATGCCGCTCTCCCGGCTCCGCCCCGCGCCCTGCCAGTGGTCCCGCCCGAGGCAGTCACGCCGCGCACGTCCCCTCGCCCCGCGACGGTCGGCGACCTCTCGACGCACCCACTGCCTCCCGCAGCCGGGTCGCTGCGGGAGGCGCAGGGCGCGATGCTCGGGGGCACGCTGTACGTCTTCGGCGGCTTCGTCGATGGCTGGTCGCGCATGAGCGCCGACGCGTGGGCGTGTGACCTGCGTGGCAGCACGCCTCGCTGGACACCCCTGCCGCGCATGCCACTCGCCGCGCAAGGCAACACGCACGCGGGCAACGCGGCGGACGAGGCTTCGCAAACGATCTACCTCGCCGGCGGCATGGCGATGCGGGCCGGCAGGCAGGGCCTCGACGACGTGTACACCGCGGACGACGTGCTCGCGCTGCACACGCCCACCGCCACGTGGAAACGGCTGCCGCCGCTCCCCGCCCCCCGCTTCGGAGGCGGCCTCGCGCTGCTCGGCGGCGAGCTGCACTTCGCGAGTGGCGGCACTGTGGACGGCTCGAGGGCGGGGGGGCGCGCAGACGCGTTTACGGCCGACCACGACCAGCATTGGGCGCTCTCGCTCGCGGACCCCACGCGTGGGTGGAGGGCCCGCGCGGCCGTGCCCGTCCGCGCCAACCACATGGCGGCCGCCACCCTCGGCTCGCACCTGTACCTGCTGGGCGGGCAGAGCCGCGGCGCCGAGGGCTGCTCGAACAAGGACGACGTGTACCGCTACTCGGCGGCGACCGACGCGTGGGAGAGGCTGCCGCCTATGCTGCGGCCGCGCGGACACATCGCCTCGAGCGTGCTTCCGTACGGCGACGGCCTCCTCGTCGTGGGCGGCGTGCATGATCGCCGCGACGGCGGGTGCGCGTCCCTCCTCCCGGCGAGAGGGGCACGCGGGCGAGATTGAGCTCTCCCCCACGACTCACGAGTCGTTGTGTCCTGTCAAGGTGCGGCCCTCCCGGCGAGGAGCACGAGGCCGCGAGCTACTACTCGCCAAACTCCTCCGCCGGCTTGCCCGCCGGCAAGGGCGGCTGGTCCACGCTGCGGGGCGCGTGGCCGCGGGGCGCGAGCCAGGTCTGCGGCGTGCTCCCAGCATCCGCCTCTGCCTCCGGTATGGCCTCCCTCTGGTGCCAGTGGGGTTCGGAGCTGCGCAGCGTGAGCGTCGGCCCCGAGGCTGCGCCGCGCCCGGCGCCGCGCCCCGCCGCCGCGTGGGTTGCTGCGCGAGGGGGGGAGGCGGGCTGCTGCCGGGCCGCGAGCGGCGGGTTCGGCGTGTTTGAGGCGGTATGGGGCCTCGACGAGGCCGGCTGCCGCGCCGCGTGCCTCGATAAGGGGCAGGCGTGCGTCGCCATCGAGCTGTTGCGCAAGGGGCGCCACCTCAAGTGCGAGCTCCACTCCGCGCTGGTCTCGCACACCGTCCCTGTCCCGGGCTGCTCGTGCTGGCTCAGGCCGCGAGGACTGACACTGAGGTAGAGAATCGCGCTCGTTCACTCGACCCTCCCAGCCTCACCCTCCCTCTGGCACCAAAGGACCACCCTAGGGAATATGATTATAATCCTCCGTCGCCCGGCGCGCCTTCTGCCGGGCCTTCTTGGCCTTGCGTGCCGCGGCTCGAGCCGCGAGCTGCTCCTTGGTGGGATCCTTCTTCTTCAGCGCGGTGCGCTCGACGTACGAGCGCTCCGCCGCCTGCACCGACTCGCGGTCGCCCGCGGCCTTCTCGTGCTTCAGGTCGATCTCGATGGTCGCGTAGCCAGGCAATACCAGCCTGACCTGCGACGCACCTGCGAGCCTTGCGACCATCACCGCGTCCTCCAGTTGCGCGCGATTGGAGCTATTCCAGCGTCCGCTGCGCATCCCCGGCGGCACGACGGTGGCCGGCGCTTGCGCGCCAGCCCCGTCCGCCGCCGGGTCCGCGGCCGCGGTCCCTGTCATAGCTACGCGCGCCATGGAGAACGGCGGGCACTTAGTTTCCTGGGGAGCTGAGAAGCGCACCCACAGCGGGCCGGATGATCGGGATCGGGTTGCGGGCAAGAGAGCCCTAGCCCCGGCCGGGGGTGCGCGTTCGCAGGGCGCAAGGGCGAAGGGCCTTTTAAAGCGTAAACACGGGTCTCCGCGCGGAGGGTTGGCTCTGCGCTCCGGGCTTCCCCTAGCGGCGGAACGCCCCCTCTACTCGGGGCTAGTAGACACCAGACACTAGCACGACAACACGCTACACATCCCTCACTGACATCACCGCTCCGTCGGAACCCCCCGCTCCGCGCACGGTCTACGGCTGACGGCTGGCGGCTGGCGGCTGGCGGCTGCGGCGAACGGCGACGGCTCGGTTCGCGTTCGCCCCGCGACGGTGCGACTGAGCCTGCCGCGCTCGATCTGGGAGCCACTCGGCGCCAGTTCGGAGCGGCGGTCGGCTCGGCCACTGCGGGTGCGACGCATGACAGAGCATGCTGGGCGCCGCATCGTGTACTACCGACCCACGCCAAGGCGCGGCCGGGGCGGTGGTGCTCGCCGGCGCTCTCGCGGTGCTTCGGTGCTCGAGCGCGCTCAACGTTGTGGTCGTTCAGGGCGGCTCGCACAGCGCCCGCAGGCACACACACACACACACACACACACACACACACACACACACACACACACACACACACACACACACACACACACACACACACACACACACACACACACACAGCCCCTTCCCCTTCCCCTTCAAGACCGCACAAGGGCGAGGACACGCGCAGGGGCCGCACCTCTAGCGAAGCCCACAGAGTGGGAGACTCCTATCACCGCCCTGCCACCCACGTGAGCCTTTTGGCCGCCTCTGTCAGTGTGCCCGTGGTAGTGAGAGACTGCTGGTGAGAAGCCGGAGGAAGGTCGCTAGTCGAGAGAGATCGCCAGTGGAATAGGGAGTCCACCGTGCTGCGAGCCTGTCGCTGTCCCTTGTCAGGAGCAGGAGAACTAGGGAGAGCGCAACCAGTAGGAGGCTCGCGCCTGCCCCCGTGCCGCCGGGTGCAACCTGTCCTATACGAGAGAGGAGTCCCTGGGACCCTGTCGTGTGGGTGAACCCTGCCCAGCCCCCCTCCGTGTCGCGATGCGCTCCCCGCTCCCGTTCCCCTGTGTCCCTGATCGTCCTTACAAGATCCTGCTCGTCAGGTGGGGACCCTGTCCTTCTCCCACCCCTCGCTTGGCGTGCCCGTTTTATTTATTTATTTATTGCGCTCCGGGCTTCCCCTAGCGGCGGAACGCCCCCTCTACTCGGGGCTAGTAGACACCAGACACTAGCACGACAACACACACATCCCTCACTGACATACATCACCGCTCGGAACCCCCCCTCCGCGCACTGTCTGATTGATTGACGGTCTCGTTTTGAAGGCGCTCTGAGGGGTCCCGTACCATGCGGAATCGACCCTATCCAGTGCTCAATTGCTCAAGGCGCTCATTAAAAAATAAAGCAGAAGACGCATGATCAAAGCCTGGCCCGCGTCCCCGCACCTGGCCGTGTCCCCGCTACAAGCAAGGCCTACTGAGATATGAAGGCAAGCAAGTCCACCGCCGACGACGCGGCCCCGCAGCACTCGGTCGAGCTGGTGAGCCTCGAGAACGCGGCCGCGGCCGCCTACGAAGCCGGCTGCTCGCCCGATCGCATTCACGGCGCTGTGCACGCAGCGCTCGTCCGTGCGGGCGCGCCGCAGCTCGGCCACAACCCGGCCGAGTTCGGCCTCCTCCCAGTGATTGGCTCGCCCGGCCTGCTCCTCGGCTTCTGCAGCGGCTGCCTTTATCACGTCTGTGGCATCGGGCTCTGGTGCTTGTCAACTTCGGTGGGCGGAGCGCCGCTCGGCGTGCTTGCCGGAGGCGCATACTCGGGCTTCCTCTTCTTTCATGGCCGGTACCTCGGCCGCCAGGACGGCGGCGGCGCGCCCGCGGCGTCCGCCTCCGACATCTTCTACTTTGCCGGCGCCATGTCCTCGTCCATTGTCGCCGTACAGCTGGTGCCACCACCCGGCGACCACACGCCATCAACGCCCGCGGTGCGTCCACACCCTTCGAATCTGTGGGTAGGGACGCCATCGTCCAAGCCATCGACGGGGACGGCCGCGTGTCGGGGCCCGCCTGCGCCGGCGTCGCCTCCCTCTACCTGCTGCTCGTCCCGCTGCCGCAAGTGGCGCTCGCCGTGCTAATCTGGCGCCGCTCGCAGCGCGCGGTCGCATCGATGCCGCTCCTCCTCTATCTTGGCTTCCTGCAGAGCGGCGTTGTGCTCTGGTGCATTGCTCGCGACGCCTCCTCGTCCTCCTCCTGTGACGGCGGAAGCCTCTCCGAAACCTTTCCACGCCTCTGGTCGCTCCTCTTCTCGGCCTGCTGGTGCGTCTCCCTGCTCGTGATGCGGCACACCGATCGGCTCAAGGCGCGCTCGTTCGGCGCGCCACAGGAGGCAGGGCAGCGGCGCGATGCGCGCGCGATATGTGGACCCTGTAGGCTCCAGCCTTTGCGTGGGGCGCCACTCTGCCCGCCGTCGTCTACTTTCTTCTCCTGCACAACGCGCTCGGCCTCCTCTGGCCGTGGCAAGACGTCGAGCCCGCCCCCGAGCCCGCTGGGTGGCCTCCCGCCTACTGGTCGGAGGTTGACCACTCCACCGACGGCGAGTGGTTTTGGCCGAAAGATATGTACCCGCCCGCCCCGCCCCCGCCGCCCCCGCCTCCCGGCATCGACCGGCTCGTCGCCACCTCGCACGACCTCTGGCGCTGGCTCCTCTTCAACGCGCTCGGCGTGGCCCCGACGGTCGTGCATGGCATGCTCGGCGGCGGCGGCCTCCTCCTCCTCGTCGCCGCAACGGGTGTGCGGCCTCCGGACGCACCCCTCTCCATCTCGCCCCGCGCCGCCCGCTCGCGCCAACCCACTCGGGGCGTGTGTCTCGCCCCCGGGCAGGCATCCTGCTCGACGCGCTGCGCGTCCTCTCCGCGCTGCAGCTCCTCGTCTCGCCAGAGGCGCACACGCTGCACGCCTTCCTCTACCTCGCCACCTTTGGCGTGGTGGGCGCCCTCGTGACGGCGCTCGCCGCGGTGGTCACCGACAAGACGGTGCAGGCAAAGGCGCAGCAGATGACGGCCTCGCTCCTGGCCCCGCTGCGCAAGGGCGAGCGCACGGGGTCCGACGGAGGGAGCCGCGTCTCTCTGGGCACGCCGATGATGTGAGGGGAAGACCTGGTGAACGAGATAGATAGATACTCACTCGTGTGGGGCCGTGTGTGCACGTTTTCTTTCTTTCTTTCTTTTCCCCGGTGTGCCGGTGATAGTACTAGCACGCGCCAGTTCGCACCTGTGTCGAGCCTGTCTGCTGTGAGAGAGAGTTGTTTTGTTTAAATTCTTTTCCCCTGTGAACATTTCCGCAGCATTTGCTGGCACTTTTTGTGACGGGCGTCTGCCCTCTGCTCATGATGACGGGCCTCTCGATCAACGTGCTCGGCCCGGTCGGGCCTGTGCTCATGCGCCACCTCTCCGCCTCGCCGCACAGCATCGGCTCCATCTATTCGGCCGAGGGCCTCGGCAACTTTCTCGGCTCCCTCCTACTCGGCCCGGCTGCGGCCGCACGCCGTCCTCGTGGGCGTGAGCGCCCTCGACTTCCTCTGCCTCGGCGCGGTGCCGTCCTGCTCGGCGCTGCACCAGGTGGCGTTGCTCTACCTGCTCATCGGCCTCGCCTCGGGACTCGGCAACGCCACCGCCAACACATCCCTCACCTGGGCCTGGCATGGCGCCGCGCCGCAGCTCGCCGCCGCCTTCAACCTTGTCAACTCTTGCTTCCCGCTCGGAGGCGCGCCACTGCCGAGACGCTTCCACCGCCGCGACCGGGAACTGGTTGGGTAGTAGTCTAAGTTCTGAGCCTCGAGGCTGAGCGGGTCTAAGTGTGACTAGTCACGCTGGGGTGCTTACGCGGTCTAAGATCAGCGAGAGCCTCTTACATCGGCTAAGTCGGCCGTGGCACAGCCTGGGGCCAAGAGGCTCCCACCGTGATCAACGATACGGCGCTAGCCCCCAAATTTTCTTCGCCTGCGGCGGGCGCCTTCTAATCCGGATCGATCCTTCTCATGCTCAGCAATCGCCGCCTCAGCATCCTCCTCTTCCGATTCTCGTTGCTCTTCTTGAGCGCAATCTTCAAGCCAAACAGTTCTCACAAATAGCCTCAAGCTCAAACAAACGCATGTCAAGGAAGCCTGTGTATGCTGGTCCTCTTTGAACGATCCGCGCGTGAGGTAGATCTAGCATAGGGCCTTGTTGGCAGCAGCCAGCTTGTTGCGCTGCTTCGTTGCGATGAGCTGATTGGGATCGCAGAAGTGCATGCCAAGCACCGCCACGATCTTGAAGCAGAACACATCGCAACCGCATCGTCCGCACTGCCATCGGCATGCCGCGCCCGCCGCTTCGCCGCAGCCGCCTTAAGACACGCATAGCGGCAGCACATGGTACGGTGCGCGTACTTGAGCAGGAGTTGCGCGCCGCAAGTAGCGCACTGGCCCTGGGACAAGGCGATATGGCGTCGTGCGCGGCATACGTTGGTCGGGACGCGTCCAGGTATTTTTCGGGTAAACCTGGACTTTTGCAGGTATACCCGGGTTTTACCCGGATTTGGCCTTGTGCCGTCTAAGTTCATGGCCCCCGACCATACAGCGTCTAAGTCCGAGCCCGGCTCCGTGCGGGGGCTAAGTTGAGCGCTCGCTCGCTGCAGAGGCTATGGTCCGACACATCTAAAGTGGAAGGGTGGGGTAGGGGAGAAGTACTCTTGAGGGAAACATTGGACCGTCAGGCCCCGGGGACTGGCCAGCCCGACTAACACAACCTTCAGGAACACCATTTTGCGGTCCTGAGCGGCCGTCTCGGAGCAGAAGCTTCCCTGCCTCCTTAGCCATGTTGCGGTGCCCTCGCGCCATCTGGTCCACGCACTGCTCGCAAGTAAAGCGTCTTCACAGGTCGGCAGATACGCCTCACCTTCAAAAGGGTGGCTGCCTACCCCAAAGCCCAGCCCGGTGCATCGATTTCTCTTGACGATTTCACTTTAAAACGCTGGTGCAGATGGGGTTTTCTCTATAGAAGTCGGAGCCTTGCGTCGAAGGAGAGGCAGCGTGCGGCTCCGTGGACTCGGCCATCACCCGCGGGTGAGAGGGCGATAGGAAGCACTCCCGCCCTCTGAGGCGGCCGTCCGAGTCGGGGAGGCAAACACACAGCCATCCTCGCGGGTGTGGGCGGCCTTATCGGCCCGCTATACTAACCCTTAAGTCGGCCCTTCCTCGGGTCGGCTTCGGAGGCCCCGCAGCCCTAGCCGGAGCTAAGGGGCCCGGCTTTCTCGGCGCTAACCCTAGGGGAAATCGCTCCGGAATAGGGTTCCCGGCACCATCGGGCGGCGCCACACGGATGGAGGGAGAGTCGGGTTTGCCATCGGCGGGCCGTGAGGGCGCTGAGAACTCAAGGCTGAGTTTTCGCTCCCACTTTTTCGATGTGTCGGAGTATAAGTGTAGAGCGACCCTCTAGCCCTACTACCCAACCATTGACCGGGACTCAGAGTACAGAGAGTCACACTGGTGTAAGCCCCACAGGACTCGATCACAGGACAGCCTGTGGCTGCCGAGACACAGGCGAAAGACAAGACAGAGGCCGATCACAGCGAACAGATCCACCGCGCACACGCACACGCTCTTCATATCGTTTCCTCATGGGCGGCGCGATGTGCGTCTGCGCACGTCGGCGGCGGCCCGCACCACCACCCTTGGCAGCACGAAACTGCGCCAGATGTCCGCCAGTTCTGGAGCCGCTCCCTCGCGGCCAACGAAGCGCTCCTCGTCCCAAGCGATCAGGTAGCCCAGCCGCATCACCTCGACCGCCCACTTGCGAGCCGCCTCCGGGAAGAGCTCGTGCGACTGCGGCGACCACTCCGCCGCCTTGAGGACCAGCCTGCCCACCTCCACCGCCTCGGCCGCTGGCTGCAGGTTGGCCGGCCTGAGGGCGGGGAGAGGCGGCTTCGGGTGTTCTGAGGGCGGGGAGAGGCGGCTTCGGGTGTTCAAGAGAGGATCCGGCGAGTCGGGGGGAGACCATTGCATAGCGCGCCTCAGTGCGAGTGCCTTGGCCTCGCCCGCCACGCGCACGCCGAAGCGGGCCGTCGAAGCGTTTGCGGAGACGACGAGGCCAACCTTGCCGTTGAGCGACGGCCGCGAGACGAGAGAGCGGATCCCGACTGTGGAACCGATGGCCGCAGCGGTCGGATCCGACTCGCTCCACGAGCAGAGGACGCGCGCCCGCTCGAGGGCAGAAGGCTCGCCGGAGGAAGAGTCAGCGCCGCCGCGCAGCAGCGTCCGCGCCCGGTCGACGGTGAGCGCCTGCGGAAGAGGGGCAATGGGCGTGAGGACAGCGCGCTCACGCCTTCGGCCGCTAGTCTCGGGCAGGCCTCGAGATGCTGGAGCGGCGTCCAGCCGCGGCTGGCGACCAGCCAAGCGGCGAGGTCGGCGTGGCCTTCACCGTTTGCAACCTCCTCGGGCGTGCCAAAGGGCGTTGCGGCGCGGGAGGCGCCGTAGGAGGAGAGGAGCTTGGCGACCTCGAGGTGGCCATTCAGGCACGCGACGAGCAGCGGCGTGGCGCCATTCTGCTCGGCCTGATTGACCGCCGCGCCGGCCTTGAGGAGCAGCCGAACGCACTCGAGGCTGTTGTTCTCGCACGCGATGAGCAGCGGCGTGTCGCCGCCGTCCCTGGCTTGGTCGGTCGCTGCGCCAGCCTCGAGGAGCAGCTGGACGATGTCGAGGTGGCCCTTCTGGCACGCCATGGACAGCGGCGTGGCTCCGTTGTTGCAGGCTTGGTCGAACGCCGCGCCAGCCTCGAGAAGCAGCCGGGCGATCTCGAGGTGGCCCTGCTGGCACGCGATGCGCAGCGGCGTGGCGCCATTGTTGTAGGCTTGGTCGACCACCACCACCGCGCTGGCATCAAGGAGCAGCCGGACGCACTCGAGGTGGCCCTGATAGCATGCGATGTACAGCGGCGTGGTGCCTTCTTCATCAGCTTGATTAATCGCCGCGCTCGCCTCGAGAAGCAGCCGGACGCACTCGAGGTAGCCGTTCTGGCACGCGATGTACAGCGGCGTGGCGCCGTCGTCCTTGGCTTGGTTGACCGCCGCGCTCGCCTCGAGAAGCAGCCGGACGCACTGGTCATGGCCCTGCAGGCTCGCGACGTACAGCGGCGTGCGGCTTCAGAATCCGCTTGGTCGGTCGCCGCGCCAGCCTCGAGGAGCAGCCGGACGCACTGAATATGCCCCTCTTGGCACGCGATGTACAGCGCGGAAGCGCCGCCGCCATTTGTCGCCCCGATGCTCGCACCGCCTTCGAGCAGCAGCCGCACCGCCTCGGCCTGCCCGTGACGAGCGGCCCAGGTGAGCAGCGTGTGCTGCTTGTCGGTGTCGAGCCGCGCGTCGAGCGTGCCGCGCGTCCGTCGCCCGGAGAGGAGGGCGCGCAGCAAGGCCAGGTCGCCCCGAGCCAGGTCGGCGAGTGTTGGGCTGGCGTTGGACATCTGGACATATACGTTAAAGAATTCGACGTCAGACACGGCGTACTCAGTGTTGACTGATGCGCTACCGGTTGGACCGCGACGATGTAAGAAGCCACGTCGACGGGGGCTGTGCGACCTGTGCGGCCTACTGGGCGGCGTGAGAGCAATCGAAACGACACGCCACCTCGCCCTCGAATGTCCATACACCACACTGACCCTCGAGGCGGTGCTCCGCGCAGTCCTGGAAAGCACGACCCTGGATGAAGCCGTGCTAGAGGAGGTACGGGGCATGGGGAGGGAGCAGCTAGTCCACGAATACCGCCGCCTCTGCATCACCGGGTTCCGTCTGACCACTGGCAGAGGACAAATGGCTGAGGGGCGCATTGGGGCGACGCCGACTCGCGTTATTATGCTTGAGACACTTGCAGGCATCGTCCGACGGCGCCACCGGAACGCCCTCCTCGCGCCGGAAGACACACCGGACGTGCGAGTTGACACGATCTACAACGGGGGCGGGGCTCTCGCCCCATCAGATACCCTAAAACACCCGAGATCACCCGAGATGATCCGAGATCACTAAATCGGTGTGTGTGTGTGTGTGTGTGTCCGTGCGTATATAAAATGAACTCGGGGGCACGGGACGCGGCATGTGCATGTGTGTGTGTGGCAGAAACCTGAGAAAAATAAAAAACCAGACAGGGAAAAGTATGAAAGCGGAACAACAAGAGCACGCACACAGGATGAGGGTGGCGGTGTGCCTCTCTGGCTACGCGGACGTTATCGCGCTGCCTGCCTACCAACGTCACCTCCTCGCCGCATTCATGCCACTGCGATCTGACGCGTCGGTCACATTCGAGCTGCTCCTTCACCTCGACGGCACATTGCTGCACGAGAGCGAGAAGCACCTGCTGTTGAAGGCCTCGCAGACTCTGGATGCGGCTGAACTCAAGGTGTACAACAGCACGCCGACACGCCCAAATCCCGTCCCCGGTCGTGTCATGTGTCGGCCGGACCAGCTCTCGAAGAAGGTTGCTTGCGACTGCCTCACGGTGGGTTACATTCAGAACGTCAAGCTGCGTGGCTGCCTGGCGAGCATCAAGGCGCGCGAAGCGGCGATGTCCGCGCCCTTCGACCTCGTTGTTCGCATGCGAAGCGACATCGAGTTTGGCTTTAGCGTGCCTGCGGCGGCGCAGTGGGCGAGGCTGAGGGAGGGCATCGTGTGGGCAGGGATGGTGGAGCCTCGCAGCCTGCTTGGCCTGGAGGAAGTTGGGTTGATCGACGATCAGTTCGCGGTGCTGCCCAGGGCTATAGCAGCCGCTTACCTCTCCGGCCCTGCAGATGATATCGAGGCTTGCGTGCCGGCGCAACCAAATAGGACGGAGCAGGGCTGGTAGCCTCCGCCAGTGGTGCTAATGCCAGCCCATGTGAGTGACAGTCTCTTTACACAATCTGCTGTGGGTAGGTGCCCCGGCCGGTGGCACTGGGCGGAATGCCGCTTCCTGCGCGCGTTGCGCCAAAGGGCGCTTTCTCTTCCAGGCCCGCTCCTCGCCGCGCAGTTCCCGGCGCTACGCAACGCCTCAATGCTCACGTGCGGTGAGAGGCGACGCGGCAGCGCCGCCGGCTGCCTCACGACGGGGGCCCGCCGCAGATCTGAAGGCAACACGATGCGGCTGAGGCATGTTCGCGCCGTCGCAGGGACGCTGCTTAGTGAGCGCCTGCCGCCTTCCCACTTTCCGCCCGAGGCGCTCGTTGGCAAGCACCCTGCCACACGGACGACGGGCCGCGCACACACCAAGCAAAAGGAGCTGTAATAGTGTGTTATCACAGTCTCGGGTTTTCGTCGCTCCCCTCCTTGTCCCACCTTGTGTCCTGTTCCTGGGGCCTGTGCGCTGTGGTATGAGACGAGTAAGTGCCTATATGGCTTCCAGTATCGCGCTATCCTCTTAAGATTCTACTTTATATAGATACAAGCCTGCCAAGTCTCTCATAGACATATAGTCGCCGACCACGCCCACAAAGAACCCTGCACAAAGATCGCACGGGCGGTGATCTGCTGCTTTTACCCTGAAGATGCGTTTTATTTATTTACTTCTCACGAGGTGAGTTGTTGCGCAAGAAAAGGGACGTAAGCTAAAATCTGAAAGCCGAGACGCATGCAGCAGACTATAGTCGAGCGCGTCGAAGCCCCACACCGAAGGCGGCCATAAGGCTAAGCCACTGGTCTGGAGGCCGCACGTCTCCGGCGAGGTGCGTCTCGCAGATCTTGACCAGCTCGTCAAAGCCCACCAGCCAGCGCTCGTGGCAAACGGCGAGTGCGGCCGTCACGTTCACATCGGTGGCGCGTGCGAAAGCCGACCACCATGGCCGCGCGAGTCCGTCGCTGAGGCGACTCCTCGATCATGACGCGCACCTACCCGACGCTACCGACGCAAGAGCGGCGGGCCCGTTCCCACACCGCCTCCACCGATACTCGAGAACAAATCTCCGAACCACCGACACTTTGCGGCCCCGGGACTTCACCCACGTCATAAACTCCAGTAACGAACTCCACCAAAACATGTGAAGGATCCCCCCCCGAGTCTCTGGGACCCCCCCCCCCCCAGTGCGTAATACATAATACGTAATACGTAATACATAATACATAACACACGATGTACGATGTGGACTCCCAGTGCGTAATGCAAATGCATAATACATAATTCATAGGAGTTATGTGACACTCGGTCGTAATGCGCATCCATTCGCCTATGTATTATGTGTATCTGTGTCATGCATTCACGCGCCGCGACGCGCGAGGGTGGGAGAGGGCCACGTATTTTGCAAATACGTAAATGTATATGCCCTAGGGTTATGGATCGGTAAGGATGCATATCACGATGCGAATGCATAGGGGGCAGAGTGCATATACATAACAGTACTGATCACGATTGGCTCGCGTCGGAAGATGGGCGGCAAGGCTGGGTCGCGCGCAGGCAAAGATGAAGATTATGGCCAAGTTGGGCGAGAACCTGTACCGCACGACCAAGGTGTTTGGGCCGATGTGGGAGAAGCAAAAGGCGCGCGCAGCACCCCGCGCCGCGCCGCGGCATCGGCAACTGCAGCGCTCACGCGCTTTGATGCAATTTTAGGAATGAGAAAAACAATTCCTTTCCGAAAGGAAACTCGTAACGGCCCCTACAGCGAAGCGGTTGCACATTGAGAGAGATTGTCATGTTTGTCACAACTGGTTAGTTTATTGATTTGCAAATAACAATTGTATGAGGTTATAAACTGGGTGGCGTCTATGCATTCATTGTTAGACGAGGCTGTGACCTCGCGAGCAGCGCCTTGCTCTCTAATATGGGCCCCCAGTGAGAGCTCGCTCCGCGCGGCAGCAGCATTTGCGCAGCGCGATCCGCGCCTGTCAGTGTCGAGTGTGAGGAGCTGAGGACCTCTGTGAGGACCTCTTGGGCTGAGGACCTCTGGTGAGACGCAAAAGAAAATCAGTAACCAGCCTCCGCTACCATCCAAACCCGAGTACCCGTCTACTATCATAGGTAGAGGCTCAAAGTGTGACATAAGTCCGCACACACATACGGCGTATCATACGACATACACACATAGACATACACAAAGCAACTCTCACGACACACGGGCACCGGGTGGAGCGGCGGCGGCGGCGGCAGCAGCACGCGCGGGCGGACGGATTCGGACGGGGCGGAGCAGCGACCGCCTGGGCGGCCGCTGCTCTGTCTGCCAGAGCGCGCGCCGTCTGCGCAGCTCGAGCGCAGTCAGGTGCGGGGACGCGTGGCGGCGCGGGGAAACGCGGCGGCGGTGGCGGCGGCGGCGGCGGCAGCGGCACGCGCGGGCGGACGGATTCGGACGGGGCGGAGCAGCGACCGCCTGGGCGGCCGCTGCTCTGTCTGCCAGAGCGCGCGCCGTCTGCGCAGCTCGAGCGCAGTCAGGTGCACAGGGAAGCGTGGCGGCGCGGGGACGCGCGGCGGCGGTGGCGAGCAGGCGAGCGGCCCGCGCGCGGCGAGGCGGACAGGTGATCGGCAGGCGGGTGATGGGCCGCAGAGTGACCGCGCCCAGCGATCGGAGCGAGCCGATCGTCGCTCAGGACCTCTTGGGCTGAGGACCTCTGGGCTGAGGAAGCTGGAAGCTGCCTGGTAGTGTGTTTGGCAGCGTGGTCCGCGCTGTGGCCTGCGGCACGTCTGCGTGCAGCCGCTGCTCGCACCCGTCCACATAGAAGGAGAGCCACGGCGGGGAGATGGCGCGGCAGCCCAGCTCGTGCTGACCGAACGCCGTCAGCGCGTCGGTCAGCGCCGCAAAGGCGTCCTCATCAAAGTAGGAGGCAGCCTGCGTCCGGTGCAGCGTGTACTGCGATGCGCTTCTGCTGGGACTACTGGCGTCCACAAAGGCGCGTTTTTCTTTTCAGCCCGTCGGTCAGCCCCGGCGCTGTGCTTGTGACACTTGACAGCCAGCCGATGTCTGCGTCATTCCTCGCCGCTGTGGAAGACCGTACTAGCGCATCTCAAGCCGACTCGGCGCAAGAAGTCAGATCCCGCATCCTCGCGGAGAACACAGCCTTATGCAACATGCGCACGGCTGTAGGAGACACCTGGCGCGGGGTTCGCGAGATCTCTTGCGAAGCGCTGGTCAGCGACTTCGACGTGCCAATCGACATCGTGCTGCAGCAGATTTGGCCACAGTCCCAGCTGCGCGCATGCTGCATGCGCTCCCTGTGCGATCTCAATATTGAGCTTCTGACACGCTTGGCGGAACTACTGCTCGACGTCTCAGCTCATCATCAGCACCATGGTCTCCCTCTCGGTATGCCTCCGGTGGTGGTGGCCCTCGAGGGCGTCGGGCTGCAGGTCTACGCGAGCGCCTTTGAGGAGCTGGGATTCACTGATTTGGGCTACCTCCTCAGTATGAGCACCGAGGAGCGGGCGCAACTCGCGGAGCGCGTCGCGATGCGGCCCGGACATGCAGCAAAATTCACCCGATATGGCTTCTCAGCCAGGAGCTCTAAGGCATGGGCTCTCACTCCAGGAAAGTTCACCTCGTGGGGGTCCTCCAGCCAGCCTACTGACGCGGGCGCAGACCCCGTCGTTCTTGATTATCGTCTCGTTCCAGCTGAGCAATACCTCGTGAGCTCCTTCAAGGGCCGGTTCGACTGGATTGCCGAAGAGGACGTGCTTGCCGACACCGCACTGTCCCAGGCGATACAGGTGTTCGAGGCTAAGGATGACGCAACGCGCGCGTCCGACCTGCGAGCTTTCCTGGAGGCTGCCAACAAGATTGACAAAGGCTGCGCGGAGGCGGCCACGAAACTTCTCCTGAATGGGCTCGAGCTTGCAAAGCATGCGTGTATGGAGGGCGAGAAGGCGATCGGAAAGTGCTCCCGACACATTTCATCTCTGAGCGAGCAAGAAGGCTCGCCGCCTGCTCCGACCCCACCGCCTCTCCAGCTGCAGGCAACAAACCTCACCTTTCCGATCCAAATCATCCGTTCGATGCTGCAGGCGGCCACTGGTCGCTCTCTCAGCCACGATGCCGCCATTTTTGTCAGTGCCGTACTGGAATACCTTACCGCTGAGCTGCTTGAGCTCTCTGGCAACGCACACGATCGCATGGAGCCTTCTCGCAAAGACAGGAAATGCATTACTGTGCAGCATCTGGTCAATGCCATCGACAACGACGAGGAGCTTAACCTCCTGTGCTGCAGCGGCGGTTCGATCAACTTCAACAGCCCGTACTGCTTTCTCGAGGCGCACCGGTGGGAAAAACTGATGCACGGTATGCTTGCGCAGAGCGCCGGCCACGCGACACGAGTGTCAGCAGTCCGGGAGCCGCCTTATGCCTTGAACCTGCCTGCGGCGGACCTGCTCAGGGAGCAAGGGATCAGTGACCACACATGGCGTCGCTTCGGAGAACACAGCGGAGAAATGTGCTTCTGCAACGGCCTCGCGCTTGATGGTACACGTCTGCGGTGGCTCTCGGATCTCGTGGACGGCGGGCCTCGCGTTGCATGGGAGGGACTCCTCGATCTGCCAGCAGAGACGGTTTGCGCGCGCACGGGTGTGCGGCCCTTCCGTCCACTGACGCCGCCTGACGTGAACAGCAGCTTCTGGTTTGAGCAGCTCGGCTCGAGCTCTCATCGTGTGAGCTGGCCGATGGACCCTCCGAGTATGGCGACGGATGGCTCTGGCGTCCAGGAGTCGCAGCGACGCATCCCACAGCTCATTAGTCCCCTCGTCGTCGGACGGCTCGCTGCGCGAGCTGGTGTGCTCTTGATCGTTCGCGACTCGCTTGATGAGCACGTACGCAAGACCGCGGTCGCTCACCTCGAAGACATGCTGAGAGAGGCAAGCCTACTCCAGGCGCAGCAAAGCGAGCCATGGGACAGGACCATTCGCCTCTGCCACGTCCTTGCCGCCGGGAGGATACGCGGCGAGGTGCTTCTCGGCAGTGGCAGTCTGCTTGAAGCCCTCTCCAAGGCGTGGTCCCGCCATCCAGGACAGCGAGCCAGAGCCATGGTCCCGGTGCGCGTGCCAAACGCGCCAGGTGGAGCCAGCAGCTGTATGGAGACCGTTTCGCTTGAGGCGCTTCCTGATGAGCTACTGCATGAGGTGGACGCAATCCTGCGCGCGACGAGCACCCAGGGTGCCTTGCGAATGCGACAGACGAGCAAGGCGCTCAACGATCGGCTGAAGCCATTGGCCGGTGTTTTGGTGGAGCGCGCATGGATTCGGAAGGTGCGTGCTCAGCAGGCTGAGAGGCGAACTCCCGACCTCGTCAGCGAGCGTGAACGCGAAGCAGCGCTCGT